TTGAGTTGCAAATGTTCAAAGTTGGGTAGACCCGCTTGCTCCATTCGAATGGCATTTTTGTTTTTTCCAGCCAGAATTCGAATTGGAAATGCATTCGTAGTGGACTGTATGACTTTGTGGTGCAAACTGGTAAAAAAATTGAACGATGACAAATATGGACAAATATCACCAGTGCACCACATATGCCATTGTTCACAGAAGAGAACCCCATGTTTTTGCGCATTGCAATCAGAAAACGCACATTTCTAATTCAACTCTTGTCATTCTATCATGTATTGTTTGTGAGACAACCATGTCTGGAAATCAATTGCGATCGAAAAAACATTTTCAATCTTGCATTGCCGAGACAAGTCAGTCATGGCTGTCCCAACGATGCAGGGAAATGATGCATTTGTTCCGGAGGAGAAGGTGGAAATGGATCCACTTTGTTCCTTCGACCATTTTGTTGCATGATTTGGCCACGTTGTGTTGAAGGTTTCATTTTTTGTTTGAGAAACATGTAAATTTTTGTTTGAAATTGACTTGGCGAGCATTTGCAGATGCTTGCAAATGCTTCCAGATGCTTGCAGATTGGATTGTTTGAGAATGTTTACGTGTGCATTATGACGTTTATGTGATAGGTGGCAGCAGTCGCAACTTTTGTGCACAGTGCCGCTGGTCCATGAGGCGGCACCGTTGGCATGGACTTTGTGACACAGCGTTCCGAATGAAACGCAGAAAAACCATGTGTCAAAACACATTGTTTTCATTCATGGTTTTATTGTTTTGCAAGACACGAACGTGTTCTAGAAAACCGGAACTGTTGAAAAATCCTTGTTTCTGGTTTTGTGGAAATTTTCACGTCAGTATATCACACACATTTTTTGAATATGTTTTTCATGCCTCAACTCAGAGATGGAAATCAACAATGCTAAATGTTTCCACCACTGTTTTCAAAGACAGCAAAACTTGACCATAGTGCAATCTACGGCCGAAAAATGATTGCAGGATGATGCCATCAGTGGATGAACTTGCGGGTCAAAGTTTGCTGGATGCCTCAGAAATGTACAAATTTTGTGGTTTTATCGCAATTTTGGACAAAAAGGTATTTAGCGCAGCAAACTTAGGAACAATTTGAGTTGCCTAATCCAGCACAACTCTGCAAACCGGATAAGGCTGCTAAATTCGGAATGAATTACTTCGGACTGTCGGACTATTGATTTCTGAGTCTGGATGTCCATGGCATATTACCCACATGTTCCTATCAAAATTTTTCAATGTAAACAGACTTAAAAAATCGTGAATCCTTGGAACTCTTCTCACAGTCTTGAAACTCCTCTTGAGTTTTATTGTCCGAGGATTGGAGCACTGCAATTGCTACGTATTGAGGAGGACATTTCCATCGAATACACTCAATTCAAACTGCGTGTGTTGAGTCCTGAAAATAAGTGCCAATGAATAGTGTGGCAGCGTGGCAGCGTGGCGTGTTCGCCGAAGCATCTCTGCATCTCTGCATCTTTGCACATCTCTGCCCCGGGGACCTGGATTGCCGGAGGCCAGCTTCGCTGAGCTGTTTGTATGGAAACCAAGAGATCGGTAGGGATAGTAACGGATAGGGCAAAAGGCAGGGCAAAGGCAGGGCAAGGTGAGGGTGACCACCGTTAGGGCTCAGAGCATCCAAAAGAAGGGTTCACTTCAAACAGCAAAGCCTCAGCAAAGCAAGAAAAAAATGTTTGCAAATGGTCTTGGATGCTTTTCTTCAACAGAACTAGGCGGCGATTTGTGGCCCAACGCCACCTAGTCTGCGGCTGAGGCCAAAATAATTGGATTTGATTGAATCCCTGCATTCATGAAGGTTTGGATTGTCTGGATTGCCATTTTGACACCTTTTTTTGGCGAATCTACGGCAAGGTCTTCAGATTTTTGGTTTGCTCAGTGCGGAAGCAGTACAGCGTGCTTGAACCTTGGGATGTCCTGCTTCGCAGGAGCTGGATGCAACGAAAGTCGTCTCTTCATATCTCTGCAGTTCGTTTTCTGTGCTTGTGTACCTTATAAATCCTTATAATATCTTATAATACTTTAATATACTTTAATGATCTTTAATGTACTTTGCAGCGGCCGCTAAGCCATCTAAGGCCCTTGAGTCACAGCCTCAAGTCATTGGTATCTCATGGTATCTCACTATGAATTTCTCATCATGGTTGTAGTCTTTGCTGTCTACCATTGGACATCAATGCATCTTGCATGTAAGAGTAGTGCATGAAATTTACTTTTAGAAGTACTTAGAAGTGCAAAGTGTCAAGTTTGTTTCACGTTCGATTTGTTGCTGCTTATTTCCTCCTTGTGAACAAAATGCATACCTAGCCATGGATTCCTGACAATGTGTCCTTCGTGTCTTTCGCACTTACACAACATGATTTTTCGATATTTCTCTCCCTTTCTCTCTCTTTCGCTCCTTGCAAAGGCCTAAGCCGAGGGACCAGAAGAGGCTCGCAAGAAGTCTACCCGTGTTCTTTTTTCGCGACTGAGTTGTAGCAGTTCTATTTGAAGTAAATAGCATTTCTTATTGCATGATATTTGTTTCTTTTTGAGGTAGATGATTTCGAGCCTTTCCTGCCAGGAAATGGGCCTTGCTTTGGCGCGCTGCGCGCCGACGTCAGGGACTGCCTGATCAGGACACGATATTTGCCATGCGAGTGCCCTTGTCCCCTGTCTCATCTTTGTGCTTTCGGGGTTACAAAGTGGATGAAACAAACCTATAGGTCAGGCACAGGGAGCATTTAGATACTGGCAAGTGTGTTTGGTTTAGTCATTGTGGCAGATGCGGCATCTGTGTCCCACGGTTGAACTTTGAAACCGACCGAGCGGGTACAAGAACAGAGGAACCGCTTTGCTGAGGATCTTTTTTGGGTGCCGCCTGTGGCAGAGCCTGCGACACGGAGGCCATGCCAGAAAACAACGTGAGTTTCACAATCAATTGGAAAATAGGGAAATGTGGACCAAGACAAGCTGGTAGAGCGGATACAAAAAACATCAAAAAGCAGGTCAATTCAGAGAAGATTAAGCAGAGGCAGATTCGCTGCTTAGTTTCGTTCTTGGTCAAAGTCCCTGGCAGGTTCTTTGCTTACAAGGTGCCAAAGGCACGTTGGGTTGTCGATTTTAGGCAAGTCGGTTTTGGACATGTCACGGAGGAGCACTTTGATCATATATTTTGATGCACTTTGCCAGTCTCGCCGATCCAGAGTGGCTCTTCAAAACGGAGGTCCGTTTGGGACTAAGACGGGACGCCAAAAGCAACAGCTGAAAGGGCAGGGCTAGACCCACCTTTGTGTCTTCCAGTATGAAGGAGCAAATTGGATAGCCTCAACCTCCACTAACTTCCAACCCCGTCACGTTTTTGCTCGAAATCAGGGCTGGTACGGTTGGTTCTGATCTGAGCAACTACAAGGTATTGCTTCTGAGTCGACATGTTTGCACTTCCTAATTCAAATTCATGTCGCTCCACGAAGAACACGGCCCTCACCACGTTGTTATTAAGGGAACTACTCTTCGAAGTTGAGAATGGTAGCCAGGGAGCCAACTAAGGGTAGGGCCAAACTTGGCCATTCTTGAATCATACTTGTGCTTACGTATCTTACGTTGGACCCGGTGCAAGTTGGTCAAAGTTGTGTGTTGGACCTTGCGCTGTTGGAGATGCGTCCTCTCGTGGCCGTGGCCAAGTTGACCCAGTTGAGCGGTTACACAGACCGGACACGGCCAATTTTGGGCGGATTTTGTGAAAACCGGGGATTACTACAGTCTACAGTCTTGCGCACTTGCGACCTGGTCACTTCCAAAAATGCCTCTTTGAAGCATCTTGAAGCTATGACCAGCATGCTCCGATGCATTGAACAGACTGACAAGATTACTCCTCACAAGTTCCCCACGCTCGGGCAGTTTCAGTGCGGGCGAATTCTTCTGAAATGATTCCATTTCCAAGAACAACATCAAGCCGAACAGGGTGTTCTGGATCGGCTGCCGAGCTGAGGTTGATTGTCGCAGGTTTGGGCCTCAGCAAAACTCCAGAGTCCGCTGCATGGCAAGACTTCCTTGCAACGTATTCAGCGCGAGCAAGCTCCTAAGTTTGGGTGGTTTGAGACAAGTTCCGTAAAATCTCGACTACAAGGTTTGCCAGGAGGATCATTTGAATGGCAGCTATTGCAGCTATTGGCTGCAGCTAAGGTGCATGCTACAGCCATGGTCTGGATCTAAAAAATGGAATTATGCCACATGTCTTCCGCCTCACACGAGTTCATGTTCAGTGTTTATTTTATAAAACATGATGACATATCTATTAATGATTTTTAATGTTCAATTATGTTCAATGGTCATATCATATTGTTATATATATATATGTATATATATATATATTTAATATATCAAATATATATCATTATATCATAATATCAACATTTTATGATATATATATATATTAGATATATTATAATATAAATGAATTTCTATATTTGATTTAATATAACATTAATATAAGTTGGTTATATCTCCTGGTTCCATGTCTGTCGTTAGGCCTCGACGCCTTGCGCGCCGTCTTCGCCGCGGGCACCGACCTGGCCGCCCCAGTGCCGAGGCGAATCGAAAATGATGAAAAAATGGTATATCCAGTATATTTGGTATTGAAATATACTGGATATACAAAATTTCATATATAACTTATCAATTTTTTGATGTATTTCACTGATATATATATATACATGATATACGAAGAAAATAGGATGAACATGAATGAAAGGTTATGAAATATTTAGGTGAAGTTCACAGATGAGGCATTAGTGAAATGATGTGACATTTTCTGTGAAGATATGTGAAGATGTGATATGTGATAAGACTCTGTGAAGACTGTCACAAACTCGAAAAACCCGCAAAACAAGACGAACAGGAAGAGCTTCGAACTCTTTTCCAGTGACAGCCAAGACTTGCCAACGCCAACCGTCCACATATTTTGACATTGACATGTGGTGTGGATGGTGGACTTTGAACACAGTGCAGTTGCCAACAGTCCTGTGTTCGTCAGGTCGCGTTGGGACCACGACCAATACTATGACCCACAGAACTCCAAGGGCATTGCCGATGCCTCAGATGCTTCTGCGACGGTATCAGAAAATTCATTGGGGATTCAAATAGCACCGGACCAGCAGCATTGCTTTTTGTTTCTAAAAGGCTGCATTATATAATTACACGGTTCAACTTGTTGCAGAAATAGTTGCAAATTGTTGCACACTTGTGGTTGAGTTGAGCCAGAGTTCCTACTCAGGGCATCTATGCCAAGCACGCAGCTTGTATTGGCCTGCCGCAACCTGTGGATGCTGCTTTCTTTGGCCTCGAAGAGGAGGTTCTCCCAGGGCAGCCTGAAACTTTGACATTCTCGTGGACAAATTTTTCCATCCATTTCCATCCAGCCCCCCAACTAGGACAGCTAGATACAGCTACATAGAGCTAGCAATAGGGATCAGTGCTTTTGCTGAGATGCGTTACAACCTATGCAACAGGTGCCACGAGAGTCCGCCATGTGCCATTGATGCGTAGCAGCACTGTAGCAGACTCTAGCATAGTGCTAGCGTTGTGGGTACTACAAGTGGTGTAATGATTTTTTCTGTAAAGAATTCGACTTTACTACTGCAATACAGGAAAGTCACGAAAGAAATTGAGTTTGAAACTATCCAAAGCCAACATGTCGTTTCGGAGTTGCCCTTTGCTTGGGGTAATTTGGGTTTCTCTTGTGAGTTATAGTGTTACTCCTTCCAAACTCATGTCAAGGAGCTTTTCCAAGATATCTGACTCTTTTTGACATCTATTTGCGGAAATCTTCACCGCTTGAGTTCTCTGTTCCTTGCACATGTCCCACGGCATCGGAGTTTCTTTGACTCGGCCAGGAAGCCTTGAACATGGATCCGATGCAGCGTTACTAACCTTGCAACTCTTGCAACTTGCGACGGACATGCAGCTGACCATCTGAAAGCGGTGTTGCTGAACACCTCGCATCACTGTATATCAGCACAATCAATCTAGAGTTTAAAGGGGCCTTGAATCCTGAAATTCTCACGCTCTTGGTGTCGGAAGCCCTAAGGTTCTTGCCTTGCAGAAGGCTTCCGTGCAGTCGCTGAGATGCAGCTGAGAAGGGCAGGACACAGTTTCCGATGCCCTGAGTTCAGCCATGACCAATCAGTTGAGACATATTGTAACGATTTGCAACACAAATTATTGTAATAAAGAATCATTCAAACAATATGGAATCGTACACCTCGAAAGCGGAACATAGATGAATATAAATGAAGTATAATGAAGTATAGCTGAATGTAGATGAATATCGTCTTCCGTCTTTCCAGACTAAATCACAATACGCCACGATTGAGCTGTTCTTACAGCTACAAAGAGAACAAATGCCGACAGCATGTACCAAGGTCCGGGATTCGAAGTTAACCAGGCAGTCCTTGAGAAACAGCTCCTGCGGCGTTTACGTTGGAAAACTCAAAAACACTGAACGATTGAGAACCATTGAGAACCATTGAGAATTTTTGAAAACAATTATCAATTAGAAAGAGAGCTTTTCCATTGTTGCTAGCAATGAAGTCAATATGACAGTAATGATGGATCTCGCACGATCTGTTGTTTGTTTCTCGACACAGAGTTCTGGTCTGATGGTGTCCGAGGTCGGAAGCATGAACTTTGACCATGCGATGTCGGTTCTGCGCCTTAGATTCTTCAGAGCACGAATCATGACTATGATAGGAGTTTCAATATGACTACCCTATGATTGAGAAGTTTCGACATGAAAACTGGCATCTTGGATAACATCGAAAACATGGCGTGAGCTTTTGTCAATGCCTTGGGACCTTGGCTCCATCAACTGAGGAGGCAGGGCTGTACGATGGACGCGGCCCCAGACGGAACGAGTTTCGTGGTTTCGTCGATCGTCGTTTCGTTGGGACTTTGGGCGAGCGAGCATAACCAGCTTTGAGCATCTTTGAGCGAAAGAAGCAGGCTGCCATGACATTGAAGACATCATGAGTTGAATATGATTCCTGATCCGTCGACGCACTCAGTTTTACCATGTTTAAAAAGTTTCATTTCGAAATATGTTGAAACATGAAGTGAGGCGGAAATGTGAATTTATTGGCAAGCAGACTATCTCATGTATTGGGCCTGTGCTGGCCTCAGGTTCCACGGTCCCATCCATGTAAATCTCAAAACCATCTCCTGGGTGAAAAAACATGGAAAAAAAAGGTCTATATGCAAAACGCGAGACGTACAGGTCAAATCATCTAGACCAAGACTGGCAAAGAACAATCTCTCAGAAGATGAAGATGGAAGGTGGAACAGCAAAGATGTTCTTGGCAATATCGACAGTCCTTTAAATTGAGGGGGTGCGAAGTACTGAAGACAGGACCTTTCATGTGTATGCTTTCAGCGCTTTTGAATATTTGTCAAATAGTTTTTGTCTTGCCTCTCGGAGAAACTTATCCT